GCAACACTACCACCCGCTCAATGGGTCTCATCGTCGCTCGTGGCACTTTGATCGTACTGATCTCCCCCGCCGACGGCAGTGAGGAGATCCCCAACCCTTTCTTGCAAGCAGAAGAGTAAATAAAAACCTCTCTTTCTGACGCATTATCTTCTTTCCGGGTTTCATTTCATTCCGGATCTAGTTGTCATTTCGGGGAATCGACATCCTGGATCCGGTTGGAGCTTCAAATCACTACACACCTTAATGTCCCGCTGGCTTTCGACGTGCGCCGGAACATACGCTCATCAGTAGCTACGAAGGGAACGAACGAACGCAATATGATGGTTTCGCTTTTTTTTCTTTTCTGTTGACTTGGAATGTGCATGATAGGACTGTTTACTGTTGTGGTGTAGTTCTGTCTTTCTCGTCTCTCTTTTCTTTGCACGGAAGGAGATGATGAATTTGGGGATCAGCTCATGATACATAGCGCCAAAACCAAACTAGGATATAACTAAAAAAATAACAAAGTCAACATGAAAGCTATCCAAGCAAACTGTGTAGGTATCATAGATTATTAGCCAACATAACATATTCACATATTGTACTATCCTGTACACTCCCCCTGATCATCAATCTACTGGCCCACTTCCCCAGATGTAGGCCCCACCGTCTCTCCAAACTCGGCGGAGTCATCAGAAGCATCGTCACCAGGGCCATTAGTTGGTAAGGGAACCTGCCGCGGCTGTGCATCCTTCAGCCTTCTAACACCCTCTGTTTCCTCAACCCAGGGCCCAAACTTCTCCATGCCATCGATATACTCAGCACCAATGCGCAGACTCAGGCCCGCGCTAAGGGCACGCTCAATGCGAGTCTCACGAGTCTGTGATACAAGGGTACGGAAGACATGCACAAAGAAGCCGCCGAGAATATCAACGCTCCAGTCCTCTGGAACAAGATCTAGGACTTCGCGGACATCAAACCAGGCCGCGAAGCGCGAAAGGAGATCGCTTGTACGCTCGATGCGGTCGGACAGGTCCTCGATGTGCAGAAACTCGTCGAGCAGGTGGCGGAAGAGCGTTGTTTGTAGGGTGTAGTCTGCTAGTTCTGGCGGGGTGCCTGTTGAAGAGGAAGAAGAGCTACGCGGGCCGCCGAAGAGACAATAACGGATCGCGGAGTCGTAGTCGCCTAGCCCGTGTGTAAGAAGATGGAGGGCTGGGCCGTGATGGCCTTGTAGGCCATCGAGGATAATGCATTCTGAGACTAGCTCATTCTGGAATGGCTCGATACGGGTGAGGACGTTAGGGATTGAGTAGCTGATTCCTGTCGGGAGGGGTTGGGAGGTGAATTGGGAGCTGGAGATGCCACCCAGCAGCTGAAGTAATCGGAGTCGGGACTGCCACCAGGGCTCTGTGGGGGTGTTCTCAATTATGAAGTTTAGGTATGTCGGTTTGGGGGCACGCAGGGCTCGATAGGTTGAGTAGGAGTCGGCCAAAGAAGTTCGTGCTTCGAGGGATGACTCGAGCACAGAGAGTACTGTGTCTAAGTAGTATGATATCAGGTCGTCGGCATATTGCGTGTACTATATTCACAGGTTAGTTCGATGTGTCCATGGAACAAGACAACGGGGCATCTCACATTCTTTGCAAATACCAGGTGCTCTAGGTAGACCTGGACCGCATTTGGAGCTCGCTCCTTGAGTAAAGCAACAACATCCGCCGGTTCCAGTCTAACACGGCTGGCATTGTCTGCGAATACCTGGATTCCCAGACTGGGATTCCGCTCAGCCAGCCAAGAGCCATACTCTTCAACCAGCTGCACGTCCTTGATCTTGACCAAGTACCTGCGCATCTGTGTCTCCACGCCATTCGCGGAGACCTCTCCGCCAGCGTCAGTCTCCCCATCGACAATTCGTCGCCAGGTTTTGAGAACGTTTCGAGACATTTTTTGACTTTGGTACAAACGGCTTAGCACATAGAGCCGCTTGTATGTTTCCAGGAGCATCACTGCTCGGTCGAAATTGCCTTTCCAATTGTCGACCAGTCTATTCAATTCAGGGCGGATTGGCGATGCTGCCCGCTGATCTCGCGTCAGATACGCATCTTGTTCCAAGGTCAGGTGCAACAGCGCGGCATCTGTGCTATCCAAAACATATGTCTCATCGGTGATACTACCATATCCGCGCTTCTGCTGCCAGGAGAGAAGGAACCGTTTCACCATGCTGAGAACAGGACTGCAAGAAGCATCCAATCCAGAGGATTGAACGCCTATCTTTCCGACCTGTTCAATATATTTCTCTGCCATGCTTGCCAGCCCAGCGTGTATCCATATACCCTGAGGCCCCTGTAAAACCTCACATCGCAACAGAGGAATAAAGAGCAATGCCAAACGCGGGTCGAGGTTACCTGCCAGTAGCGCTTTTTCGGTACCATCGATTGCTGCGGCATTGCGGCCGTCTGGCTGCATGGAGAGTAGGTCACCATAAAGCATAAGGCTAGCCTTTTGTTTCACATAGCTCAATCCAATGAATTCAGCCTCGGTCTTTGGCTCGGTGTCCTGGACTGAGAGTAGCAGATCCAGAATGGTACCCCTACGCAGCACAGTGTGCTCGCTCTCTTCCGTCTCCTGGGCCCTCTGCAAGGTGTCCTCGAGCTGAACGATCAATGGATTCTGCAGTACGCGCCATATTTGAGATCCAGACCACATGACAAGACTGCTTTGGACCTTTCCCAGTCCATGTGCAAATTTTGCTTCTTCGGCATCACGCTGAGCCTCCCAGCCCTGGATGGCTGAGCCGTCGCTCTTCTTAGATCCCTCCGAGTCAGTCATTTCTTGTAAATCGAACAGCTCTTTCTCCTTCTGAGAGTGCTCGATCGATGCCTGAGTTCTTGAATCTGCTACTGACACATGTGGTGGCAGCGTGGGATTTTTGAGGCGGACCATCCGCAAAAGCTGCCCGATTTCATTGAGCTCAAGATGGCTAGGGCTGAGGGTGTGTCGCAGGCCAACTTGAGTAGATTGTGTCTCGCCGGGAGATGGGATCTCTAACCATCTCTTGGTCCGCTCAGTCTCCCCTGGGTCGTCATCCCAACGTTGGATTTCGAGTCTTGTTCGAGACTTTCCAGCATCTTCGTCTTCGTCTTCAATTACAGCGAGAACAAACTCTTCTCTAGCGCCTTCACTAGTCTGGAACATTTCATCATTCTCGTTTGTATCAATCACAACAGATTTTGGGAATCTGTGGAAGTTAATTGTACCCCGAACAACTTCACCGTCCATGTCGACAAACATTCCAACCCCCGGTTCTGTTTCCTCGGTCCCGGTTACAAGTAAAAACTCAGAAGGCGTTGGGGACACCACATGAGGCTGGAGACGCTTCGATCCTTGCTTTGTTGGCGGAGGTAGAGGTGGTAGGGGCTTTAAGCTGTCGTTGGTGGGAGAGTTATTGACCGGCTCTTGGTCACTGGGGGGCTTGGGGGAGCTGTTTCCCTCTCGCTCCTCCGAGCTTGATCTTCTGGGTTCCCCGGCAGATGTGAAAGGATCGGGTGTCCCTGATGGTGATCTATCTAGCTGGGCCGCTTGTGCCTGCGGCGAGAGCATTCCCACGAACGCATTCAAGCTAGTGCTTCTGCCATGCCCCGAAGCATCACTCGGTGGAGAAGTAGGATAGGAGGAAGAGGGTGAACGTTTGAGCGGAGTTCGCGGTGCTGGGTTCATATCTTCCACGTGCCCCGACTCAAAGACCTCATTCGAAGAAGAGATTGGGAATAGCGGAATCTTCTGCTGGTGTGCCACTTCAAGTAATGAGTATGAATGTGTATCCGCAGCACATGCGATCGTTCCTCGTCGCGCCGCAGTTAAGCAACCAGGAAACTCGATCTTCTTGATCCGCCGCGCCTCATCCCCAATCTGGACCAGCATGATCCTGTTCTGCACAGCAATCATGATAGTCGGATCCTCGCCCTCCTCTGCATCCCAATTGAGATCCAACCCACCGATCCAGCGGCAGTTATTGACCTTTGTGGCTCCAAAAGCCGGGCTGAGCTCCGGCAGCATGTAGAACGTAACAGTGCCATTGCAGAGGACACATGCCTTGTTCACTGAGGATAAGAGAACTATTTGTCGAACACCTTCTTGGTCACTGCCCGCTGGGGGACTTTGGGCGAATAGGATCGGTAATCGGGATGCCAGTATAAAGGTAGGCTCGGCGACTTCGTCTGGGGATGCTGGCGGGAGGCATACGAAGTGCAAGATCTCGGCTGCAGAGGTGCCGATATATAAATTTTCATCTGTGAAATGTTAGTCGGCTCGAGGGTGATCGACTAGGCAGCCTCGACCACCAAAACAGATAAAGCTTACTCCAGTACTCAACACAGGTGATGTAGACGTCGGAGCTATGCTCGGTCGCTAATGGCACATCTTCAAATAGGGCATGTAACAAATAAGGTACAGTCCCTGGCGGACTGGTCCTGCGCCTCTTTCGGGGACCAATTCCATCGTCTGAAGCCATCATGAGGCTGTCGTTCCAGGCATCTCCCCGCAAGCTTGGAGAGTGACGATGTGAGGGCGGTCAGTAGCTGGGGCCAAAGCTCAGGGGGCAGGCCACAGTTATGGTGGTTTTTGTCAGGCAGAATCTGGTATGATCTACAGATGTCTGTTAAGGCACATTTCTAACTATACACCTGATATCAATCAAAAATTAATTGCTGATATTTGGACTCATTCTGGGTCTTGATGTTGTCTACTCTGTTTTACTTTTTATAGTTTTTATCTACAATATGGAGCTTTAAATGTGAATTTAAACTTGGATGTAAAGGCGGTCGGTAGGGCGGTCATCCCAGTGTGTTAGTGCCCGTTATCTCCTGGCATCTGTTGTAGACGGGTGCCTCGGGTCCATTGCTGTCATCTTGAAACAACACACTCGTTATACAGCCTGCATATTTGAGGTCACTGTATATTCTCTCGCCATTTACATTTATATTTGTCATAGATTTGTATCCAACAACCTCAACTCAAGATCGTACGTTGTACGTATACAGTCGGAATAATATCGGCCCGTGCGCCGCGTGTCCTGTTCCTCGCGATAACAGATCTCCATCTTTCCCCTTAGTGGACTGCTATTTGATGTGGGGTGACAGTGCAGACCCTTGGGGTTAGGACCGACAATGGATTCATTTGCCATTACAGAGGGTTTGGTTCCTCAGGACCAACATAACAGCCAACCTGAATCACCCATATCCAGCAAATTGACCGAAGAGACCAACAAGTTCCAACGCGCCATTTCAGCCTGGAGAGGTAATTATTATCTTATTTTACATGTTGCCGAGTCTTTACTGACATATAGTAGGAATTGATTTGGCAAACACTATCGCAAAACTCGATGCAACCGCTACGGATCTCGTCGAACAACAACGCGATGCACTCGTGCAAAGAAAGGACCTGGCGCAGAAGACAAAAGACTACAAGAAGCTAGATGATGAATCTAAGCTCTCGGAATATAAATCACTACTGAAATCCTATCAGTCCTTTATCGATCTCTTGACCAACCAAGGCAAGACGTCATCGTCCTCATTCTTGCAACTATACTCTTCATTATCCGAGGCTCCGGACCCCTACCCACTCCTGGAAGCTTCTGTCGACTCCCTTGTCCTGTCCGAAGATACAGTTCCCAAACTGACCTCAGAACGGGACCAATTGCAGAAGTCGGTGGATCGTCTCACCAGGCAACAAGAGGAGATCGAGAAACGCTTGCAGGAGGAACGTGCTGCGCGGAAGAAACTAGAGGAAAACCAGGAATCAAGAGCTAAGGAAATCGAAGCATCGTGGGAAGCTGTCTTAGCAGAAAAGACAAATAACTGGGCGGCAAAGGAGAAGACTTTAGAAGAGAAAGTGGAAAACCAGGATCGATTGATCAAGGAGCTCAAAGCAAGCTATGAAGTCTCCCAGCGCCTGGGCGAGGGTGAGAACCAGGGTGATGAGGGTTCGCGGAGTGGCGCTACTGCGGCTGAGCTCGAGCTCGTTTCTGCCGATTTAGAGAAAACAAGCTTGAGATTGGCTGATGTGGAAGCACGCAATGAACAAATGCGGTTGGAGCTGGCTCAGGCTGCATCACATGCATCTGGTCCAGTTTCTGTTGAGGATGACCCCGATTATCTACGACTCCAGTCAGAGAACTCTTCCTTGCTTCGGAAACTGGATGCCGCACGATTTGACAAAGACTCGGAACGACACACCTGGGAAGCTAAACTGCTTCAGTCGGAGCGAACAGCTTCAAAGGCGGCGGTGGAAAGAGAAGAGTTGCGTGTACGGTTAGCAAAGGTAGCCGACTACGATGAGATCCGCCGGGAGCTAGAGATGATCAGGTCGATTGAGTTTGCAGCCGGTGATGACGATGAGGCGGGAGACGGTGCTGGCGATGTCACTGCGGTTGATGCCATTGGCGAGGGAGCCAAGTCCAAAGACAAGAACTCCCTGGAGCAACTACTTATGGCCCGAAACAAGAAATTGACGGATGATCTCACCCTCCTGCGAGTGTCGCACCGCGACATCCAGGGGCAGCTCGAAGCACTACAAACTGAGCTTTTGACTTCGAAGGGAGAGCTGGAGAAGTCACGAACCCTGTCAACTACTCTTGAAAATGACCTCCTTCGCGTGCAAGATGAGGCTGTAAATACATTCCCGTCCACAGCGATGTCTGTTGCAGGTACCTACACATCAAGATACCCCCACTCTACCCGTCGGGGCGCATCATCACCCACCTCATCCATCATCTCTGGCTTTGACCAGAGTGCCGTGTCTGCAAACACCATGGAATCAATCCGTGCAGGAGAAGCCGTTGGCGGCGGTTCCGGCCTCCTACCCATGATCCAAGCCCAACGAGACCGCTTCAAGAAGAAGAATGCCGAACTCGAAGAAGAGCTGTCAAAGCTATATGCCACTGTCAAGTCCCTCCGACAGGAGGTTGCATCGCTTCAAAAGGACAACCTGAGTCTCTACGAAAAGACTCGCTATGTCTCGACCTATAGTCGCGGTCAGGGTGCCTCCACATCTGCATCATCGTTTGCAAACACCCCTAGCTCGACGTCAGTCTATACCTCTGCAGATACGCCTTCGGGTCTGTCACTCGACCGATATCAGAACGCCTACGAGGCTCGAATCTCACCGTTTGCCGCGTTCCGGGGCCGTGAATCAACACGGGCATACAAACGCATGAGCCTACCAGAGCGGATTGTCTTTTCTCTCACTCGAGTCATTCTTGCCAACCGGACGAGTCGGAACCTGTTCGCTGGTTACTGTTTTGCCCTTCATCTTCTGCTTTTCACTGTGCTCTATATGATGAGCACGACGGAGATTGAGAAGCATAGCGCTATGGGCGCCGTCGGTAGCGCTGCTGCTGCTGCTTACGGTAGTAGCAGTGGGGCCGGAGACACGGGGAGTGGCGGTGGCCAGCTGCACGGTGATGACTGGCAGCAGGAAGGTTTCAACTAATGTTCCAAGGTTTTGTCTGATGCTTACCCAGCGAAGAGCTCCGGAGTTACTTTTTTTATCTTTTTTTTATCTTTTTATTTTCTCCTCATGACTGATCATAAGTCCTGGTGTTTGGGGTTGAGCGTTGCTCTACGTTGTACTATTCTGGGATGTGGGTCGAGCTGCATCGTGTGTAAATTGGATTTCTGGCAATTATCATGTCTCTGTGACTAAATATAGTGAGATAACCGTAGATTTCGGACCATTCCAAAGTTGGATATCATCTATGGATGGGTTTAGTGGAGTTTGATAAACATGTCTGTACCGGGCCTTAAGTTTACATCCCCTTCCAATGCTATGCAGGGGATTGACTGCCTCCCGGGTGGGATGGGACTTTTTCCAAGCCTCTAAGCTTTCTCCTTTTAAGCTTGAAAGTTTTGTTGCGTTTTCTTTACATGGTCAAATAATTTACCAACACAACATTTAGCTGACTGATTGACACTTACTCCATTGGATTGGTCAATTGGGAAGGATATAAATATATATAGAGAGCAATGCCTCCAGTAAAAAGAAGCAAGTAGACAAATGATTAGGGACTAAGCCGCGGATTGAACGCGGGAACTCACGCAATAACACTTGCCCGGGTGGTTTTGGTGGCTGATGTATGATGTTTGCAAAGCACCGTGCTTGAGATACCAAGACATTCCCTGGACTATCGTCGATTTCTATTTTGAGTAATCATATATGTCAATTGAATAGTAGGATATCTGTCAGATCAATGCTGCTTTAGGGTTTGCTTCCGATGTGGTGCATTAGTGTCGGAGAATTATGGTCTAGCAGGTATATATATCTCATTTGTGGCTTGACCAGGTCAAATAAGTATAGACAAAAATGCCGACAAACGATAAAAACAGATGTCAGCAGTCACATGAATAGTTGCGAGTTAGGTACGATAATAACCAAGCGGTCAGAGCAACTTCGTGTAAGATGGCGTTATCTACGCGCCTGTATGCTGGAACGAAGAAAAATAAGACGGACCGGAGCGAAAGCTAAACCCCGCTATGCCCTCCGCAGTCTAACATTTGAAAGACAGATTGTAAATAAGTTGAACTTCACAAATTTAGGAGTATTGCATGATTGAAAGCATGAATAAGCTCTATTTGATAAGTGCCGGGACCCATGTAGCCAATGCCTGCAATTTCCCCGAGTTCTGCACAAATCCTAGGATGAAGACCCAGCATCGTTGTCTCTGCACGCTAACCTGTAACGGCAATAATTTGGCATATCTAACCGCCCAACACATGGCACTGTTCTTCAGTCAGATTTATTAATAGCCCCGGGGAATCTATAGAGCTCATCACATTGGCTCGGTTCAAGCTCTTATAACTGAACCGCCAAGGGAAACCCCGTTGTTTTGCTTAGCGCGTCGCCATCATGATTTAGTCAAAATTTATTTGCAGTTGACGACAAATCAGAAGTCAAAGAGGCTAGGAGGGTCAGTCCTGGGCGCGTTCATCCACCAATGACAGCCGGTGGTCGAGCTTTAATCCCTGCTAGTACCTGCAGGTTGCATCGATCGCTCTGTTAATAGCACAGTATTGTTTCGAGTCTGACTTGTGTTACTATCTTTGATATATGCTTTAATTGTAGGATAGTTGCAATTACCACATCTATATGTGTACCTGCCCCTCGTCCCGGATAATTTCATCATGCCAATCCCTCCCTCGTCATTCCTTTCTTCAATTCGCTTAACTCCGTCCTTTGTTCATATCCGACTATATCAAAGGCGACCTACATCAAAGGCTTGCTGGACAATCCTTGATTAAAAAGAAAACCTCACCCCATTTACTGCCTTGCTATCCCTCTACCTCTACCTCTACCTACTAGCATAGGCCCATAGTAGCGATGCGTATTGCTCCTCTCATCATCTGCCTGGCAGCAATATCACTTGCTGCCCCAACAAACTTCCTTGACGATGCATACGACTGGACCGATGAACTGGCAGAATTCTACGGAAAAGTGAGCGAGTACATCAACACCGCAAAACACAGCATTAGAACCCCAGGGGCTTGCGAAACCTCTAAGGTTGCTCTGCCATCCTATGCTTCGGGATTAACCGGCCCATCAGGCCTAAAGCCTAAATACGTTGCACTTGGACGTGGCACCCAGGTATGACAAGCTCTTGAGATACCTTATTGAGTTACCATCGCTCATTATAAACCCAGAACTATACATGTGCCGACTCAACTTCCAAATCCACACCCGTGGCGACAGGAGCTGTTGCAAGACTCTACAATGCCACATGCATTGCAGCCAACTTCCCCAATCTCCTGGCAAATCTTCCCAACCTTGCCTACAGGATTTCCTTACCAACCAACGAATATGCGTCATTCCCTCCCGCCAACCTCGAATTGCTGGGTCACCATTTCTTCTTTGATGCAACAACCCCCGAGTTCAACTTGAATACCACACCCAACAAGCAGGATGGCATTGCCATGACCAAGAAGGAAGGTGCAATTAACGCACCATCAGGTGCAGTGTCAGGAAAATATGGTGCTGTGCCTTGGCTCTACCTCACTACTACCGATGGCACAGTGGGCAACTACAAGAGTGTCTATCGAGTCAACACTGCCGCTGGATCGGCACCAAATACCTGCAAGGGCATGCCAGCTGCATTTGAAATGCCATATGCTGCAAACTACTACTTCTTTGAGGAGTAGTTGGTTGTGTTTGTTACGTTTGTACATACAGAAGGGGGACTTCGATGGGAGGATGCGATTTTTCTATTTGTGGGGCGGGCTCTGTCTTACTTTCTTATTATTATTTTATTCCATGATCAATCATGAGCTGATATTACCAAGGGATCCATTGTTATTCTCTATTTTCATCGATTGTAGTGTTCCATCTCATCCACTGTAGGGCTTATGCGGCAGGAGCACACACCCTTTTCCGGGTTTGCATGATATAACCGTAACTTTTGACTGATCACATCACTTATTCACAGGTCAACCCTTGAAATCCAATCACCAAACCATTAACTATCACTTGGTCTATTTTCAATCACAGTTTTACGTCTCAAACAATACAGGGCTTAACCGGTCACGTGGCACATACGTCGAAGAAAATCTCCACGTGACGTCCTCACCCGGAGGACACGCTAAGCCCGAAATAACCTAGCGCCGTTCTGATTTTCTGAAAGATCCCAAAGGCGCAAAAAAAATCTCGACCGCATCAACGAGCAGCAACGGTATCGATCCGCATCCGACAGATAGTCAGCGGCCAATTCTGTTTGAATTGCTTGATCCAACTATCTCAGATACGTTGCCAATTTTTTCTCCATCTTTATCGACTCTCTCGGAACTTTTATTCCAATTTTCAACTACACTCGGTTTGAGCACTCGGAAACGACAGCTTAACCTCCCTCCCCTTTGACTCTATTTACAACCGAGTCTTATTTCTCAAAACACATACAATGTCTTCTTTCGCTCCTCGTGGACGTGGTGGATTTGGTGGTGACCGCGGCGGTGGCCGTGGTGGTCGAGGTTTGTTCAGTCCAGTCCATCCGAAGCAGCAAGCATGCAGGTCCAAAGTCTCGCTGGAGATTCTATCGCACCGATGGCCATGATCCTCTCTTGCTGCGAGATTACAGTTCAACCTTGCTGACTTGGTAAAGGTGGTTTCGGCGACCGTGGTGGCCGTGGAGGTGGTCGTGGTGGCTTCGGTGGCCGTGGAGGTGGCCGTGGTGGCTTCGGCGATCGTGGCGGTCGTGGAGGTGGCCGTGGTGCTCCCCGCGGTGGTCGCGGTGCTCCTCGTGGTGGCCGTGGTGCTCCCCGCGGTGGCGGCGGTGCTCGTGGTGGTGCCAAGGTTGTCATTGTAAGTGTTGGAAATTCTCATATGGATATCAGCCACTAACGGATTCTTTTTTCCCTGCGAATAGGAGCCTCACCGTCACGCCGGTATCTTCGTCGCTCGCGGCGGTAAGGAGGACATGCTTGTGACCAAGAACCTTACACCTGGAACTGCCGTCTACGGCGAGAAGCGCATCTCTGTGGAGGGCCCCTCAACCGAGGATGGTACCGTCACTAAGAACGAGTACCGTGTCTGGAACCCCTTCCGTTCTAAGGTAAATACCCCCTTCTCCTGGGCTAAAGATACATGGCATCGTTGCCGGTTTTATCGAATTTTTCTCGGAATTCTTGAATATCGCCCCGATAGCCATGGCTGCCTGTTATCGAGTCGTTTTTTTTTCTGACGTTTTTCTTCTTTCTAGTTGGCTGCTGGTGTGTTGGGTGGTCTTGATGACATCTACATGAAGCCCGGCTCCAAGGTTCTCTACATCGGTGGTGCCTCCGGTACCTCCGTTTCTCACGTCGCTGATATTGTCGGACCCACTGGTAACGTCTACGCCGTCGAGTTCTCTCACCGCTCTGGTCGTGATCTGATCGGTATGGCCACTCACCGTACCAACGTCATCCCTATTGTTGAGGATGCCCGTCACCCTCTCCGTTACCGTATGCTCGTGCCTATGGTTGATGTCATCTTCGCCGATGTTGCCCAGCCCGATCAGGCTCGTATCGTCGGATTGAACGCCCACATGTTCCTCAAGGCTGAGGGTGGTGTCATTGTCTCCATCAAGGCCAACTGTATTGACAGCACAGCCAAGCCCGAGGTTGTGTTCGCTAAGGAGGTCCAGAAGATGCGTGAGGAGAAGATTAAGCCCAAGGAGCAGCTGACTCTCGAGCCCTTCGAGCGTGACCACTGCATTGTTGCTGGTATCTACAAGCGTACCGCCGCATAAAGGTCTTAATCTCTGGTCTCTGGTCATGTCCATTCCCTTTTGATGTTCCCCTCGGCGTCTCGTGTTCTGTGATGTATCGAATGTTTTCCACCTTTCTTGTGACAGGTATTTCCGCCTATGTACTTTTGGCTGCGTCTTAAAATTTAGTTTTCCTTTTCGATGAATTTTTACACGCTGGAATGTGTCATACTGAGTGTCTTGATCTGAGGTGATGAGATAGCTCTGGTTAGCGTATGATATCCGTACCTAGGTAGCAACCAGTGGCCAATACAAGCGATTTTAGTCTTGCTAACATTTCGCCGGCACCATTCGAGTAAATGTTTTAGATGTAGTTTCCAGGCTTTGAGGTTTCCGAGCTTGTTCCACAAGTTGTCTTCTCTCGACCCACATAGAGCATATATGAAGTAGACCCAGAAGATCCCGAATTAAAAAAAAGGATCATTGTGCTAATCATTGCTATCGTCTAAGAGTTAAAAAGGTCTCTCACATGTTCCCTAGGTCATCTCGCTGTCCTAATCCTGATCTCGGACTTGCGCCGGGTCTCCCGGTAATCGGATTTCTCACCGAGGCTTGCACCAAGAAAAGACTCGGAATTGATGCGCGAGATTTACATTATGCGATTATATTTGCGGGATATAATAGCACTATTGGCTAATGGGGAAATTGTCGTGACTGAATGAGCGTGGGGGGGGGGAGACAAGATCCGCTTCAACCCCGCAAGGTATGTTACTATATATTGGTAACACATCCATGTTCCGTTCTGCATAGTTGAATATACTTTTATTTCGTTACACTGCTCTTTTGCAAATCACCAGACTGATCTGATCAATTGACCTAATTTCTCAAACCATATTATCATATAATCATCATGTCGATTCTCATCACCGGTGCGGGGGGTTATGTTGGCCAGGAACTCGCTGCTTCCCTCCTCGAAATTACGCCAGCCACGACAACCGTGACAATCACCGATATCGTTGAGCCCGAGGTCCCAGAGTCAGCTGCACAACACGCAAGTCGTCTCAGATGTGTGAAGGCAGATCTAACTTCCAACAAAGAGGTCGACGAGCTGATCAGCGCATCCAATCCCTACGAGACAGTCTACATCCTCCACGGTATCATGTCCGGCGGCTCGGAGGCCAACTTCGAGCTGGGCGTCCGAGTAAACCTCGACGCAACACGATACATTCTGGACCGGCTACGCGCGACCATGCCCGGGGCGAAGGTGGTCTTCACATCGTCACTGGCAGTCTACGGCCTTGCACCACCAGGCTTCGTCATTAACGAAAAGAACTTCCCAGCCGTACCATCTTCCTCATATGGATCGCAGAAACTTATTATTGAGACGCTGCTGAACGACTACTCGCGACGCGGATTCCTGGATGGCCGGTGTGTGCGTTTGCCCACTGTGACAGTGAGAGCTGGCAAGCCCACCCAGGCTGCTAGTAGCTTCGCTAGTGATATCATCCGTGAGCCCTTCCATGGCAAGAAGGCTATTCTGCCTGTGGCTAGGGAAACAGAGATGTGGATTTGCTCGCCGCACACTATTATCAAGAACTTGATTCATGCGCGCGACGTCCCAAAAGAGGCATTTGGAGACTCAAGATCTGTTAATCTTCCTGGGTTGAAGGTTAGTATTCAGCAGATGTTGGATGCTTTGCTGGAAGTTGGTGGGAAGGAGCGTCGGGATCTTGTGGAGGAGAAGTATGACGCTGCTACCGACAAGATTGTGCAATCATGGACTCCTCGATTTGATACTGCTCGTGCTTTCGAGTTGGGCTTTGCCGCGGATATTTCAATGGAGGAGAACATTCGGCATTTTGCAAGCCGCTTTGTATGAGACGCAAGGTATGTAGCCAATCAATAGACACGAAATTGTATGACCGAAATTGAGTGATCGGAACACAAGGCGTATCGGGATGCCTAAACATCAAGCAAATCGTATTTTGACATTGTAAAGATCGATAAAAGCAATATATAGACCCATTGAGACTGTATTATAGCCCACATCACGAATTAATGCAGAGGAAGGAAGTATTCGGGATGTCAAGGGCGGTTTGGAAAAGCGGGTTATGTAATTGGCTGAACTGGGCGAACAATTTCAGACTTCGGAACCTCAACCTCAGGGTGTCTCCATCAGCTCTTTTCTCCATCTCTCCCCCTTTCCCCCTCCCTCCACCTATACAAGTCGTTCTCAATGGCTTCTCGGCGCCTCGCTTTCAACCTAAACCAGGCTCTCCGCACTCGTGCGGCCCTGAAGTCCATCCAGCCCGTGAAGCGTGGCTTTGCGTCGCCGGTTGCGTTGCCGTCCACCACCCAGTCCACCACCCTCTCCAACGGATTCACTGTACGACCAAGCAACTCATCTCAATGACATCGCAATTTAGCTAATTTCCTTCTAGATCGCCACTGATCACTCGCCATGGGCCCAAACCTCGACGGTCGGCGTGTGGATCGATGCCGGTAGCCGGGCAGAGACTGACAAGACCAACGGAACTGCACACTTCCTTGAGCACCTTGCCTTCAAGGTGCGACCCCACAAACTACAGACTACGAAGCGCTTTTATCTGATGAATATTACTAGGGCACCAACAAGCGCTCCCAGCACCAATTGGAGCTTGAGATCGAGAACATGGGCGCTCACCTTAACGCCTACACTTCGGTACGACCCGGGAAACCACCCATCAACGTCTACCAAAACAAATACTGATCGCGACTACAGAGGGAAAACACTGTCTACTACGCCAAGGCCTTTAACAACGATGTCCCCAAGGCCGTCGACATCCTCGCCGATATCCTTCAGAACTCCAAGCTCGAGGCTGGTGCCATTGAGCGTGAGCGTGATGTGATCCTGCGCGAGCAGGAGGAGGTTGACAAGCAGCTCGAGGAGGTTGTCTTCGACCACCTTCACGCCACCGCTTACCAGGCCCAGCCCCTTGGCCGCACCATCCTCGGCCCCAAGGAGAACATCCAGACCATCACCCGGGACAACCTGACCGACTACATCAAGACTAACTACACTGCTGACCGCATGGTCCTGGTCGGTGCCGGTGGCATTCCCCACGAGCAGCTCGTCAGACTCGCTGAGGAGCACTTCGGTGGTCTCCCCAGCCAGCCCCCTACCTCCGCTGCCCTTGCCCTCACTGCCGAGCAGAAGCGCACTCCCGAGTTCATCGGTTCCGAGGTCCGTCTCCGCGACGACACCATCCCCTCCGCTCACATCGCTCTCGCCGTCGAGGGTGTCAGCTGGAAGGATGATGACTACTTCACCGCTCTGGTCACCCAGGCCATCGTCGGTAACTGGGACCGTGCCATGGGCCAGTCGCCCTTCCTCGGCAGCAAGCTCAGCTCCCACGTCAGCCACCACAACCTCGCTAACAGCTTCATGAGCTTCTCCACCAGCTACAGCGACACCGGGTAAGTTTTATTTCTTGATAATTCATGTCTTTGATCGATAATATATTGACTTGATATTAGTCTCTGGGGTATCTACCTTGTCAGCGAGAACCTTACTCAGCTCGATGACCTGATCCACTTCACTCTCCGCGAGTGGTCTCGCCTGTGCAACAACGTCACCTCCGCCGAGGTTGAGCGTGCTAAGGCCCAGCTTAAGGCTTCTATCCTCCTGTCTCTCGATGGCACCACCGCCGTCGCTGAGGACATCGGCCGCCAGATCATCACCACTGGCCGCCGCCTGAGCGCTGAGGATATTGAGCGTACTGTCAGCCAGATCACCGAGAAGGACGTCATGGACTTCGCTACCCGCAAGCTGTGGGATCAGGACCTTGCCATGAGCGCTGTCGGCAGCATCGAGGGTATCCTCGACTACCAGCGCATCCGTGGAGACATGTCCCGCATGATCTCTTAAGTTGTCCTAGAGTATGATCGCGTGTGAAGATAGCTGCTGAATGCTCCAGGAAAACTGGGGGTTTGGCGGCTTTGATTTGAATGTACTATCAATCATTGCCTTGGGCTGTTAGATCCCAAATTCGTGTGTGAAATAGCAATTAATGGTTTGCCATAGTAGACTATATAGTTTGCTGCCTTTGCAGCAAACATACCAATTATTTCCTTTGTTTGTTCTATATCTTCCAGTGCACTGCGAAATTGTTCTTTCCCGGCGTATCGCTGTCGCTGTCGCTGTCGTACTTTCCTCTATCGCCTAGTGTGCTTCATCCTCATCGGCACCTTCCACAGCTAACTGCTTGTGCTTTCCTACACATAAAAACCCGAGTCCTCTTGTTTCCTCCACCTCAGTTCTTCGAATCCATCGTTTACCTCTCGCTTGCTCTGCCAGCCTGATTGAAACTTCAAACTCTCAAGTACTCATCTAGGTGCTTTACTTCGACGATTGACATCTCGTCGGATTCGCTTCAATTCTTTAATTCTTGTATGTAGCCTCGATGTGTTCATTTAGTGATATTTGTACCAATGGTTCTCTGTCCTGATTTCTTCTAACTGATATGAACGCTTTAGTGGCTAAGCTTCTCCCATAATGGAGCGATTCTCCACCCTGCCAGCCGAGTTGCGCCAGCTGATCTGGGAGTTTGCCATTCCAGGGCGAGTCGTTGAGATTGGAGAACCGTGCGACCCAGATATCTTACCAGAGGAAGACCTCAGACAAGCATGGATCCTTAACAGGAAGTATCCAGTCACTGCTCATGTCTGTTGGGAATCCCGCCAAATTGCTTTGGCCAAACTCAAGCTCCCCACAGGTGTTTCCGTCGCGCCGGATTGCTTGACAGACGCTCGATGGTGGTGGAAGTCTACCGATATTATTCACGTCAATGCGCCTGAGATTGACACAGATTCACAAAGACACAGACTGGAGGATGACCTGCTCGACTTGATAAAAGTTCCGATTCTATGCAAAAAGGTCTCTATCAGTGCGGACGTCGTCCACCCTTTTTTGCGGTTCCGTCGTAGGCCGGATATCCCAAAGTCACTGGTGTGGGAAGTACTTTGCGCACTGAATACATGCATTATCTCCCTGCACACCGTCTGCATCCGGGCTACCAACGAGCAAGCTCGGGAGCTGGGCCTCTTTGGCAACGGTGACGAGCCAGCACAGTTAATCGACCCGTCTGACAAGGCAGCCATCGAGCGATTCAGACAGCTCTGGATGAACACAGAACAAGAGGTATCTTCGGTCAAGTTCTTCGACACAATCGACACCAGAAGGTTCTCTTTTCGAGTCGACAGGTGGCTCGCGGAGATGTCAGCGGACTACATCGATTTCAAATGGACCAATCCACCGTTCCCAACCCCAGGACCGCAGGCTATAACTCAAGGACTTCGTCGGTACCCATTCAAAAGACACGAACCCAACACCAAACAATATCTTGTTGATATGCCCACTCTGGAATTGAGGATCATGTTTCGACTCTGCCCACCTGCGGTGGTCGATCCGGTGATTACATAACCATCCCGCATCTGATAGGGAGATTTTTTGAAGACAATTTTGTTTGAGTACACTTTCCTATAATTCTTACCACATCATAACAATGGGAAAACGTGGCGGCAAAAAGGTAATTTTATCTTCCATACGTGCTATATATGGTGTTTGTTGTACTGACCGTGTCTCCTTTCTTGCAGGGTGGTAGAGGCGGCGGCGGCGGCGGCGCAGGCCGTACACGCTCTCAATGGCAAGATCTCACCAGAGAGAACGAGAAGTTCGAACGCTACTACAATGAACCCGAGTTCCTTCCGGAGGAGGAAAAGGAGGTTTTTTGGGCTACTATGCGCAAGGATCTCCCCAACAGCTTCCGCTTCACCGGTTCTAGAGGGTAAGCCACAACTGCACCTTTTTTTTTTTTGCGATTCGCGCCTTGGGAGGTTTGAAGTGATATTGACTGTTTGTGTGCCTTTTATTAGACATGCGCTGGCTGTTCAGCAACGTCTTAAGGACCACCACATCCCCGAAATCACTTCTATCAAATATGAGGACGAATTCGTCGAGCCCCCGCGCCCAGTTTCGTGGTACCCCGATCAGCTCGCTTGGTCCATGACCACTCCTAAGAATGTCATCCGTCGATTTGCGCCTTTTTCCCAGTTCCAGAAGTTCCTTGTCGCCGAGACCGACGTCGGAAACATCTCTCGCCAGGAGGTTGTCAGCATGATCCCTCCTCTCCTCATCGACGCTAGACCTGGAATGACTGTGTTGGATATGTGCGCTGCGCCGGGCAGCAAGTCCGCGCAGCTCATGGAGCTGCTTCACGCAGGCGAGGAAGATTCCATTGCGCAAGTCACTGAACAGATCAAGAGCGGCACTGCTGGATCCGAACCTCTCGGCCCCGAAGGACTGAACGACGACGGCCGAAGCACCGGCCTGCTAATTGCCAACGACAGCGATTACAAGCGCGCTCACATGCTTATTCACCAGATGAAGCGTCTGAGCTCACCCAACCTGATCGTTACCAACCACGATGCCACAATGTTCCCTTCCATCAAGCTGCCTCCCCTGCCCACTACCGATGGCAGCAAGCCCAGAAACAGATACTTGAAGTTTGACCGCATTCTGGCAGATGTTCCTTGCTCTGGTGATGGTACCGCACGCAAGAATGTCGGTGTCTGGAAGGACTGGACCCCTGGCAATGCTTTGGGACTTCACAGCACGCAGTCTCGGATCCTGGTTCGCGCCCTGCAAATGCTGAAGGTCGGCGGACGTGTCGTCTACTCAACCTGCAGTCTGAACCCTGTGGAGAACGAGGCTGTTGTTGCCTCTGCAATTGAACGCTGCGGTGGCGCTGCCAACGTTAAAATCATCGATTGCAGCCAGGAGTTGCCCGGCCTCAAGAGATCTCCTGGTCTGCACAACTGGAAGGTGATGGACCGAGAGGGCCGCATGTGGAACAACTGGCAGGAGATTGAGGACCACCGAGATCAGGAGGGCATCAATGGTCTTGCCAGACTTGCAGAGGGCATGTTCGCTCCGACAGGCGAGGCTGCCAACCTGCCGCTTGACCGATGCATGCGTGTCTACCCTCACCAGCAAGACACTGGTGGTTTCTTCATCACCGTTCTTGAGAAGATCTCCGAAATCAAGGCCAAGCCGGAGAGCAGCAACGTTATCCCCAAGGCTTCCGTAGCAGCTCTCGCCGCGGAGCTTGATTCTAAGAAGAACGAGGTAGATGGAAAGCCCCTGGAGAAGCTCGAGTCGCTGGATGAATTGGTCACTCCCGGCCAAGAGGCCCAGGAGGAACTGGCAAAGAACGCTTCTGTTGCCGAGGCTGCCCACCAACTTCCGTACTCTGCTACTCTTGATGCATCTACCCCTGCCTCTCCCATGAAGCGGGATGCAGATGACCTCGAAGATGAACTTCCTGCCAAGAGGACTAAGCTCCACGATGGTAGCGAGGTCCTTGTCGGTGACCGTCCCGTCCACACCCCTGCGCCTGCAGTGGGAACCGGCATTGACACGCCTAGTGACAGCACACCTGCCACCTCTGCGGCTACCACACAGCCTTTCAAGAAGAGAGGTCCCCGTCAAGAGGAGCCGTTCAAGTACCTTGATCCTAACCACGAGGAGCTTCTTCCCATCTATGAATTCTACAAGCTGTCCGAACGATTCCCCCGTGACCGCTTCATGGTCCGCAATGCCGAAGGTCTCCCGACCCGCACAGTTTACTACACCAGTGCCCTGGGACGTGATATTCTCACCTGCAATGAAGGCCAGGGCTTGAAGTTCGTCCACTGCGGTGTTAAGATGTTCGTTAAACAGGACGCACAGCGTGAGAACGTCTGCAGATGGCGTGTCCAAACCGACGGCCTGAAGATCGTCGAGCCTTGGTTGGGCCCTGAACGGTCCGTCATCCTGACCAAGCGGGAGACTCTCCGTCGTCTCCTTGTGGAGATGTTCCCCAAGGTCAATGACGATGGCTGGAAGGCTCTGGGCGAGATTGGCGAGCAAGTGAAGGATATCCCCATGGGATGCAGTATTCTTCGCGTCCAAGCGACCGGCGAAGAAGATGGTCTTCCGTAAGTCCCCCTCTCCCCCTTTTCATATATATCCCTTCGAGTGATACTTGCATCTTACTAACATAATCTACAGTGAGGCTATGGTTCTGCCCTTGTGGCGATCCCTCCATTCTTTGAACCTCATGCTTCCCAAGGAAGAGCGCCGTGCCATGTTGTTGCGTGTTTTCAACGACTCTACCCCTCTGATCAACACCACACAGAAGCAAAGTGACAAGACCGAGCCGACCGCTGAGGCTGAGGACATTGCACTGAAGGAGGAGAATGCCGAGGTTGGACAGGAAGCGCAGGACGACGTGGATGATCGTGAGACATACACCAAGGATGGCGATGAGGAGGATCGCTTCAACACCACCGTGTAATAAACGGTTCTGTTTTTACATGCTCCTATTATGGAGATATCTATGCTGTATCAAAAAGCCAATATCATGAATTTCGTACCTTTGTTTAGGTCCATCCTTTGTACTCGGTAATTTCCAGTGATCTGCAACGGAGAAACATCGGTAGTACTCCGTATGTATTTTGATATTACAACATATGTATCGGATAAATTCAGGACCTCCACATCTTCCCCGCAGGAGAATTGCTTAGTTTCAATTCCAAGTTGATTAGAAATGGTACCATTAACTCTTGGTCTGACATAGTTGTTGCTATTGACCTTGGTAAGGTGGTACGATTATCTCTCCCTTTTTGGACTCATACTCCGTATAGCTTTATACATCGCGCTGATATAGAACGAACGGCTATGCATACAAGAAAGGAAAAGATGACATCGACAAATCTCCCGCCATCTGATATGTGGAAAAAAAAAAAAAACCAAGGCCCCGCAAGGAAAGCTGGGGATCTTCGGTCCGGTTACCATGTGGAGGTACGGGGTGGACGGACAGTAAGGGCTTGCGGCCATAATGACAACCGGGTTGTTGTGGCCGAATATCCGTGGAATATATTCATATTGCCCATATTTTATGCCTTAAATTTTTGGGTTGTCTGGAATCTGTAGGATGTGCCTCTTATAGTATAGAACAGGTTGCCATTTATAGTTAAAGTCCTAGGAACACTATCTGATTTAATTTTAACCAGAAGACCTCTGTTTAAATTAGAAGACCGCTCTTCCACTTCAACAATGTCCCCCAACCCCTCAATATGGCCGCAAATCCACGCCGTAGTAGATCCTAGACCCCTTCCGCATGAGCAATGCGGAGCATCCGGGGCACCCCTCAATCCGAGAGAAATGACGAAAGGCATGGAAAGAGGGTCATTGCCACAGTATGATAGCAATTGCATGTTGCATTGATTAGTGTCAATGATGTGCCGAGTCTCTGTGCACTATATGAATGGCACAATCCCTGCATTGCAAGGAAATTGGACTTGAATCCAAGTGCTTCTTCCTCCCCCCTTAGCACCCCACTTCACCCCTGTGTGAACTGTCGAGACAGCTATGAAGTTCTCGTCCTCTTGGGCCTTTGCCTGTCTGGCGGCCCAGGCTGCTGGCGCTGCTATTAGCCATTCGGTGAATGGCTTTACTTTCACGGAGCACCCAGATCCTGTTAAGCGGGGTTTACTCCAGAAATATGTATGTTGGGGTTGGGTTCTTGGATTTGGATGCTTTGTGTTGACAAGTACCTTCATTGTATAGGTCACTTGGGATGAAAAGTCTCTCTTTGTCAATGGTGAGAGGCTCATGCTCTTTAGTGGTGAAATTCACCCATACCGGTAAGTTAAAAAGCATACATTAGCTCTTTTCGAGAAAGGATCGCGCTGATCAGGACCCCTGCAGTTTGCCTGTTCCATCTTTGTGGATTGATGTACTCCAAAAAGTCAAGGCTCTAGGATTCAATTGCGTTTCTTTCTATATCGACTGGGCTCTGCTGGAAGGTAAGCCGGGGGAGTATACTGCCGAGGGAGTCTTCGCCCTGGAGCCATTCTTCGATGCCGCCAAAGAGGCTGGCATCTATCTTCTGGCCCGCCCTGGTCCTTACATCAATGCTGAAGCATCGGGTGGTGGTTTCCCAGGATGGCTTCAGCGCGTGAATGGAACTCTGCGAACTAGTGATGAGGCCTACCTGAAGGCAACGGACAAGTATGTGACCCTCCCAAAATGCAGGATTGGAAGAACTGTGAGTGCTGACATCGTTAACCAGCTACATTGCCAATGTTGCCGCAACCATGGCCAAGGGTCAAATCACCAATGGAGGACCTATCATCCTTTACCAACCCGAGAACGAATACAGTGGCGCGTGTTGTGGATACAACGATTTCCCAGACGGAGCTTATATGCAATACGTGGAGGAACAGGCTCGCAAGGCTGGAATTGTCGTGCCTCTTATTAGCAATGACGCCTCGCCTGGCGGCCACAATGCTCCTGGAACCGGCGAGGGGGCTGTGGATATCTACGGCCATGATAGCTACCCTCTCGGCTTTGACTGCGCAAACCCTGCTACCTGGCCAGCGGGTAATCTGCCTACTAATTTCTACACCACACACATGAAACAGAGTCCCTCAACCCCATACTCGCTAATTGAGGTAAGATACATGGATATCTCCCGGGTGTATTATCGATTTAACTGGAGTATAGTTCCAAGGCGGTGCCTTTGATCCCTGGGGAGGTGTTGGGTTCACAAAGTGTGCTGCCCTTCTGAACCATGAGTTCGAGAGAGTGTTCTATAAGAACAATCTTAGCTTCCGGGTTGCATTCCTCAACCTGTACATGGTATGTTCCAGCTTCCCTGTCATAATCACCAATGCTAATCGAACATTGGTAGATATTTGGTGGTACCAATTGGGGCAACCTGGGCCACCCCGGTGGATACACATCCTATGATTATGGTTCCCCGATCACTGAATCTCGCAACATCACCCGCGAGAAGTACAGCGAGCTGAAGTTGATTGGCAACTTTGCCAAAGTGTCACCGGCCTACCTTATATCAACACCAGGAACATTGACCACTTCCAAGTACACCACCTCGTCTGATCTGGCTGTAACTCCCCTGCTCGGAGGTGATAACACGACTTCTTCCTTCTTCGTCGTCCGACACTCCGACTACTCGAGTCAAGCATCCGTCGACTATAAGCTCAAGGTTCCTACTAGCGCCGGTGAAGTCACTATTCCCCAGCTTGGCGGAAGCCTTACTCTCAGCGGCCGTGATTCTAAGATTCATGTCGTTGATTATGATGTGTCCGGCACCAACATCCTCTACTCCTCCGCTGAGGTGTTTACCTGGACGAAATCTGGTAAATCCAAGATCCTTGTGTTGTACGGTGGCCCTGGCGAGCACCACGAGTTGGCTGTCTCTTCTAAGTTGAAGGCGTCAGTTGTTGAAGGGTCCTCGTCGAGCATCACCACCAAGCAGGTGGACAAGGCGGTTGTTATCGGCTGGGATGTCTCCACCACTCGCCGTATCGTGCAACTGGGTGATCTGCAGATTGTTCTTCTGGGTAAGTGCTTCCTCAAACACCGTCCTGGTTCATCGCAACTGACTCAACTACTAGATCGGAACTCTGCCTACAACTACTGGGTTCCTCAGCTCCCAACCAAGGGAACAAGCCCTGGCTATAGTTCCCAAAAGGTCATCACCTCATCTCTCATCGTCAAGGCCGGATACCTTGTCCGGACTGCTTATGTGCAGGGCAGTGACCTTCACCTCACTGCTGATTTCAACGCCACAACCCCGATTGAAGTGATTGGCGCCCCGTCCAAGGCCAAGAACCTAGTAATCAACGGTAATAAAGCACAGGTCAAGGTTGACAAGAACGGAATCTGGTCAAGCAGCGTTTCTTACACAGCCCCAAAAATCGGGCTTCCTACTCTGAAGGATCTGAAGTGGAAGTCTATTGACACTCTACCCGAGATCCAAAACTCGTACGATGATTCCGCATGGGTTTCCGCAGATAAACCCACCCAAAACAGCGTCCATAAACTCAAGACCCCAACCTCGCTTTTCTCCTCTGACTACGGCTTCCACACCGGAACCCTCCTCTTCCGGGGCCACTTCGTTGCAACCGGCAATGAGAAGTCTTTCTTCGTACAGACTCAAGGTGGCAGTGCATTTGGCAGCTCCGTATGGCTGAACGAGAACCACATAGGCTCATGGGGTGGAATATCCATCGACGCCGACCACAACGGAACCTACACACTCCCAGCCTTGAAGAAGGGCAAACCATACGTGTTCACCGTAGTCGTGGACAACATGGGTCTGGACGAAAACTGGATCGTCGGCGAAGAGGAGATGAAGAACCCCCGCGGTATCCTCAACTACGAGCTGTCCAGCCGATCCGCGAGTGACATCACCTGGAAATTGACCGGCAACCTAGGCGGCGAGGATTACCTAGACAAAGTGCGCGGCCCGCTCAATGAGGGTGGTCTCTACGCTGAGCGCGAGGGCTTCCACCAGCCCCAGACACCGACCCAGAACTGGAAATCTGCCAGTCCCTTCGATGGCCTGTCGGCGCCTGGAATCAACTTCTACACTGCAAGCTTTGATCTGAATATCGAGAAGGGCTGGGATGTTCCTTTGTACTTTAACTTCGGGAACACCACGTCGTCAGCCGCTTACCGTGTCCAGCTCTATGTCAATGGGTACCAATACGCCAAGTATGTGAACAATATTGGTCCCCAGACGAGCTTCCCTGTTCCAGAGGGTATTCTCAACTACCAGGGTACCAACTATTTGGGTTTGAGTCTGTGGGTGCTTGAGTCGGATGGAGCTAAGTTGGAGAGTTTGGACTTGATTCATACTACTCCTGTTCTGACGGCGCTGAAGGTTGAGTCGGTAGAGCAGCCGAAGTATACGAAGCGGAAGGGGGCTTATTAGGTGTTCAATAGAAAGTAGATAGTTAAAGAGTTCAGACTCCAGAGTATACAATCCAAAGAGAATGAGTCAAAGTATTGTAGTGTCGTGAATATAATGTTCCCAATATAAATGTCCCGAAGTATCAAAGTAGGGCTTCCAAGGTCATCTCCACTTCTCCGCAGATCCCAGCCACCCCCAACCTCCTCTCTTCTGTTTTTGGTGTGACATTTGCTTGGACATTTGCTTGTATTTCTCTTATTTCCTTACGCTTTTCAATTTAATCACTATAATATATCTCAACATTATAATTCCAACAAAACCCACTCTGAGAGCGCATATGCGACCAAACCCCACAAGCGCACATCAGCTCACAGGCTGACCTCAAACCATCCATTCGCTCGAATCGGAATCGAAATACCCAAATCCTCGCACAATAACCTCGATATCTACATCTACATACTCTTACAACGAAATAACGAAATAATCAGACACAATGTCATCTCATCCCCTCGAAGTCCTCGACCTAGACCCAACCAAACCCAACCTCAACGCAAGAGACCTAAACCCAAACCTCCTCCACACGGACACCTCCCTCCAAAAACGCTACACAACAATCTCAATCCCTTCAACCTACGGCCGCCTCCACTCAAGCCCCGCCGCAGGCACAGTAGTGGGAATCGTACTGGGCAGCGTAGCAGGCTTCGTCCTGTTAATGTACGTACTTTTCCTGGCGGTTAACCCAGGCGGCGTCGCGCGAGGCGGCGCAGCAGCGCCAACCTCCTCCTCGATCTCGATGTCGATGTCAATGGACGAAGAAGAGATCGTGGATGTGCGCAGTCGACGCGGATCATCTGCCGGACGGCGACGACGCGACGTCATCGAGGTCGCGGAGGAAAGGGAGAGTTTCCGTGATAGTTATCGGCGTCGGCCGTCGTCGAGACATGATCGTGTCGTTGTTGAGGAGTCGCTGGCTACTTCGACTACTGGGGATGAGGATGTTATTGAGGTTGAGGAGGAGGAGTCGAGTGTGCCTTCTGATGTTTCGCCGCGTCCGCCGAGGAGGTCTAGACGGGGTGGGGTTAGGCATGTTGATCCCATGGCTTATGGTGGGGGAAGTGATTATAGTAGTCATCGGTGATTTGGGGGTTGATGTTTGTTTTTTTGGAGGTTGGGAAGCGATACCCTTTTTATGTGTTATGTATTATGATTTATTCTTTATTGATTGATGATGCTAGTTTACATCTTGTAATGATGGATGAGAATGCTTGAATGCTTTTATAAATCTTAGAGATAATGCATATGCAAGAGCCAAACAACAAAAAAAAACACAAAAAAAACGCAGAGAGAATGCTAGACAAACGCTAGACTTGATGTATAAGTTGACGCATTGAGCATATACGGAAAACTTTCTCGAATCTATGCCTTCTCCTCAATCGAGGCCTTCTTGAGCTCATCCTCAACGTCGGCCACGGCATCCTGCTCCTGAGCCTGCTCAGCCTCGGCTGATGGAGCACCGTTCTCTTGGGCGGGCTTCTTGGCAGCGTCGGTGGCCCGGCCGTTAGTCTGAGGGGCGCTGGCGGCCTTGGTCTCCTCCTCTTCGAGGCGGGTAATCTCTTCCTGAGCCTTCTTAATGTTCTGTGGGGTAATTAGCAACTGATCACAACCGACAACGTTGGAAAGAATAAAACTCACCTCTTCCGTCTTGCTGGCCTGGTTCTTCTTCCACTCGGTGATCTTGGCAGCCAACTTCTCCACAGAGGCGGGGACATCCGACTGGTTCATAGGGGGGTCGATCTTGACCTTGGCGAAGTCCTCAATGATACCAACGTTCATGTTGAACTTGGTACTCTCAACGCTGGCGGCGGCACCACCCTTCTTGCCGCCCTTCTTGCCCTTCTTGCCACCGGAACCGACGAAGTAGTCCTCATCGTCCTTCTTGCTCACAACCTTCATTCCCTTGATCTCGGTGGCTTCAACAGTGCGCCCAACTCCGGCACGGAAGTTGCTGCCCTCGTCCTTCTTCTCGTCCAGACCGAGAGAGGAGAAGTCGTAAGCGGGGTCAAAGTGGCGGATCAAACCTTGTGCGGTCAGGATCTCGTCGGCGTAGGCAAGCTGCGAGGCCTCCTCGAGCTTCTTATCGGCGATCTTCTTGCGCTTCTCGCGCGCGAAGGCCTCGTGCTCAGCCTTCTGGCGCTCGCGGCGCACACGCCAGGCCTCATCCTCGTACTCCTTGTAGGCGCGACGGGCCTTGAAGTAGGTATCCTTAATAGTGCGGATAGCAGTGTACTTTTCCTGCTGCTCGTTGCGCAGCTTGGTGCGCTCATCGCGCAAAGCGTTCAGGTTCTTGAAGACACCATCCTGCTCGGCCTTGATGGCATCGAGCTCCTTCTGGATCTCGGCGTATTTGTCGCTCAGGGCCTTGGCTTCGGGGTTGTCGAGGGTCTTGCGCAATTCGGAGATCTGTGTCTTGATGTCGTTGATGCCCTTCTGTGCCTCATCCAGACCAGCGAAGCTCTTGCGCTGCTTGCGCAGGTTGGAAACCTCGGTGAGAGCCTTGCGTTCATCCACCAGGCGGAGGGTACCAGTGTCGACCTGCTTCTCGAGACGGGCGATCTCCTTGTCAATCTCCTCGACGCTCTTGAATGACAGACGTCCGCGGGAGTTGTTCTGTTCGGTAATGCGGGCCTTGAGGTTGGCGTCCAAGGCGTTGATCTTCTCCTGAGTGGAGGACCGACTGGACTTGAAGCCGGACTGCTTCTGGCGGATAGATGAGAGTTCGGCGCGCAGCTCCTGCTGCTTCTTAACGGTGGGCGAATCCTGGTTGCTAGGCTTGGCGTTGTCCAACTTGGCCTTAATTTGGTTCTGTTGCGCATATCAGTCATTGGCCTGAGGACATGGTATGCAAGTAAATATCAACAATCAGAGTGGGTCGGGGATCATCCCCGCGACCCAAGTCGGATGAGAGCTCAGTGAAACAATTCCAAAAAAATGCATCCATACCAATTTCTCCTGAGCAGCAGTGTGCTCCTTCTCGGCCTCAGCGAGACTGGTCTTGTAGGCGGCCTCATCGGGCTTGGTGGGCTTAACCCGCTCGGCATCAGTGGCAGCCATTGCGACGAATTGAATGTAAAAGAGAGACAGAGAGAAGGAAGAGACGAATTGCCTTCGGAGGATCCTGAAGGGATTAAATAGACCAACGAGACCAAAGCGAAACCGAAAAGGGGAAACTTGGAATAATTAAAATGGTTCGGTCGGTTTCTCCGCTTAAGCGTCGATGGCAGAAAGTTCCCGCCGATTTTTCGACTTCACCTTTATCTCTCCACCGGAGCTTCTTTCTACCCGTTTTTTTAGAGTCTCTTGACGAGATAACCTCTTATTTCCTTTTCTATCCTAGTCATTGACTACTCACTCCATCATGGATGGGGATTCGGCACACTCCATGGAGGCCGAGCGCGAGATGACTCGGCTCTGGCGCACCTTTAGGACAGTCTATGAACTGCTCGCTGACCGGGTAAGCACTTCAAATCGAGTCCCTGACTTCTCAGTCTCTCTCTCATAATACCCGTTTACCCGAGGCTAACCATCTGCGACACACCAGGGCTACGAAGTGTCTGACAACGAGCTGGTACTCCCGCTAGAAGACTTCCGCGCAAAATATGCTGACCCTCTGGGCTACCCTGAGTACGCGAAACCCTTGCGCCCACCGTTCTATTGTCTTGAGATAGTGAAAACTTGAACTGAGAAATGCGGACACAACTCATTGAAATAGCACACATCACTAACAAACTGTTCCGTAACAACAGTCGCACCAAGATGAAAATCCAAGCCCGCCCCACCGACACCATGAAGTTGAAGTACACGGCACTGCCCAGCAAAGCAAACCCCAACCCCCAGCCAGACTGCGGCACAATCTATGTCGATTTCTGCCCCGACTCCTCAGGTGTCGGAACCAAGCAAGTGCGCGCCTTCAACCACCTTGTCGATGAGAACAACTTCCACACCGGCATCTTCATCACGCAGACACCTATCTCGCCATCTGCTGTGCGCCTGCTCTCCGGCGTCCCCGGCCGCATCTGCGAGCACTTCCAGGAACAAGACCTGCTCGTCAACATCACCCGCCACGAGCTGGTCCCCAAGCACGTCCTGCTTAGCCCTGAGGAGAAGGGCAAGCTCCTCGAGCGCTATCGTCTGAAAGAGTCCCAGCTGCCCCGTATACAGATCTCCGACCCTGTCGCCCGCTACCTTGGTTTGCGCCGTGGTCAGGTTGTTAAGATTATCCGCAAGTCTGAGACTGCAGGTCGCTATGCCAGTTACCGCTGGGTTATTTAAGCCGCAAAACAAGGTTGCTGGAAATGGAACAGGAAGATTAATATGCGACTCTTCAAAATGGACGCTAGATCTTTCTCTTCTTTTTCTTCTTTCATTTGGGGGTTTGCAAATCCAAAGAATCAAACCCCGGTTCCTGTGAACCTCAACCTCGCACATTCGAATCGCATCAAGTCCACTTCACTGTCCCCGATATGACCGCTTTCCATACTACGCAGATCTGCAGGAAATACCCAATTGGCAGTCGAGAAAGAGCAGCTGATGCCAGACAGAAGTGGACACTTGGGAGTTATTTTTTTTTTTACTCATCGACTCACATTCAACAAACACAAAAAAAGTTTTTGGTCTCCCCCTTGTATTATGGGCAGCATGGCGTATAGGCGCGAAGTTTCTCCTTTGGGGGATTGCAACGGGGGGTTTGCCTGTGATTTTACATAATGGCCGTGTCTTTGTATGCCTAGATGAATCCAATCTATGAATGGCTGTCATTTCGAGTTTGGGCGAGGAAGTTGTAGATCATCCATGGATGGTTACTGTTTCCTTACGTGCATATATAGCTGTACTGGTAAGAAAGGGAACAGTATTTCTTAAGGCTGTGGTCCCACTCTTTAGAGTCATGTTTGGCTTGAAGGCTAAATAGGTACGCAAAAGTAACAATTTGCCAATTATAAACTGTGTAGTAATCTAACACAGTCATCTGGGCATAGGTACGGAGTACCTCACTTGATTTTCACTATTTATGTTTTAGTAGCTCCACTTGAAACCCTGAAACAAGCATCATATATAGCGTAGGACCTAAATAGTATGTAACATGTAGAGGCCGAAGTCCGCTGACAGGAAGAGCTTAATTTACAGTATAGGAAATTTCGGCTGTAACTAGATGTATCAGCCTAGTTCGAAGGCGAATGAGAAGAAAAGAGGAAAAGAGAACCGAAAAGGCAGCCATATCTGGAATCCGGCTTACCGTCTGCTAAGAAGAGTAAAAATGAGGCCGCGTAAGTATAAAATCTTGGACCTCGGAAAACCCTGGAAAAAGGTTGACTAAGCCCCGAACTGCGCCACTGCAACTCTCTCTCTCTCGATTCCGGCGCTTCCTCATTCTTGATTTCCATCTGCACCTCTCTCTCCTTTCTGTTGCGCCGGTTTCGAGTTCACAGTCCGACAGAGAAATAGCCCCCATATCCACACTCACAGCGCAATCTCCCCAAATCAGCACTAAGTCTAACATCACCCGAGAACTCCACCTTCAATTCTCACCATGTCTTATAACAAGCCCGTAAGTACCAACAATCAATCGCAAACCCCAAATACCAAAATACTAATTTCTTCCAGACAAGCCCACCACCCTCCTACCCGGCCCAGACCCACGACGCAGGCCCCTACTACCAACAACAAGGCCAAAGCCCTGGCGCCGCAAACGACTACTACGGCGGCGGCCAGCCTCAACAGCAGGGCTACTACCCACCCCAGCAAGGCTATGGCCAACCCCAGCAATACCAGCAGGGCTATTACCCCCAGGGCCAGCAGCCGATGTATTACCCGCCGCAGCAGGGCCAGGGCTACCCCCCTCAACAGCAGCAGGGTTACTATGCCAATGACCGCGGGCGCTCTGGCTCCGGTGGTGGTGGTATCTGTGCAGGTATCATGGCTGCGATGGCTTGTTGCTGCTGTTTGGACATCTTGTTCTAGACCTGCTTTTGGTCTTGGTTTCTGATACGCGACTACGCGACTACGCTACTACGCTACTTTTGGTTTTAGGTTTGGTTGGTGTTGGGGTGGCTTGTTGAGTCGCTATGCCGTGTATGCGCTACACTCTTGAGAATATCGAGAGATAGAGGCTGGCGTTACTGCGTTTCCGCGTTTCCTAGGATTGGCTTTTTGGCTCGGGGATTGGTTATTTTTTCCGCTTCCTTCGCATATATCCTTGACTTTTATTACTTATCACTGGCGCAACACAGGACACGGCGTTCTTGGGTCCTGGAGTTGGACCTCAATTGTACTACATCTTTATTTTTTTACACTACTTGTTTACTCTTCCTCGAGTCGGTTCATGATGTTCTACCCAATTCATCCTTTTCAATCGCTATACATACATTACAGTGCAGTCCGAAGATAATTGTAGGCAGAAGTTTTATGGATTGAGTGGATACAACTCGGAAGGAAATCCATGCCCATTTTAATCGCAAGGCAGAAGCATACTAGTAGTCCATCGTTACAACGTTGTAACTAGAACTCTCTATAGAATATTCTTTACTTACTGGTCCAAGCTATGGTATGGAGTAAGATGCTTCATTCAACTACCTGCGTACTAAACTAAAAGAGGGGCGGCCACCCCTAACGAAAGATCTCATCCTCGAGATCCAGCTTAGAGGGCACAGGTAGGCTCAAATAGAAAAAATTCCCACTCGATCGCGGTACAGAGGAAAGTGAAGCAAGTTGAAGTCGAAATCAAAGTTCAGGGTCTCAAATTTACGAGCCAAGCTCCGCATTAGTCGAGGTAATGGCATTTCAATATTAAAAAGCTCAGTGGGGGCAATATGTACGACTATTTGTATACGTCGTTGACGAGTCCGTTCTTATCTCGGTCTGTATAGGTGGCTTCGTCCTTGTGTATTCTGTTGTCTGTGTTCCGTCCGAAAGCCGCTTCGTCTGCCTTCTTCGCGGCTTGCGTGGCTTAGGCGACTTGGTCAGCCTTGACTTCGGCTTTCGGGAGTTATTCCGGGACTTTTGGGGGAGATGTAGTGGTTCAGTGAAGCTGTATAAGTGTCACGAGTGAGGTGCTTTTCGCAACTTTGGATCTGGTGCTTGAGCTGTCTAATGGTCTCTGGTAGCTTGTCATAGATAGTAGTATATATGTAGATAGTAGTTATGTAGGTGTACATTATTAGCAAGGCTCCAAATAGAAAGAGTGCCAGTCATGCCCGAGCCATTGGAAGTGTTCAAAAGACCTCGAGAGGCAACATCTCCACAACGCCAACGCTAACAATCGCATAAGGGGGAATAAAACAAAGGACAGAGAACAGGACGTAGTGAACAAAGAAGAAGGTATACGGGAATTCAAGATGTGTACATAGTCTCAAACCAAAACAAGAGACTCCAGCCAAATATTCCATGTACAGGAGACAACAAGCCTCGACCCAAAATATCCAAGAAAGGAAAAAGGAAAAAGAAAGAGAGCCATCACATCATGTCATATCACATCACATCGCATCAACATCATTAGTGTTAAGTGTCAATGCTCATGTCGCGATAACAACCCACCAACATCATGAAGCTCAACATCAGCATCGACCGCCAAATCTGAAGACCCCGACATCGAAATCAAACGAGGCCCATCAAAAGCCGACACCGGAAATGGCAGATCCTCAGGACCAGGAAGCGTGGACCGAAGCGGATGTGAAGCTCTGGACAGCCCAAAGATTCCTAAATCCTCCAAAAAGGCCCTACTCCCGGCGCCTCTGCGACGCTGCATAGGCTCCACAGGCGAGGACAAGGTAGTCTGGGCACGCACATGATCCAACCCAGAATCCGGCAACGCTCTTATCAATAAACCGCCAACATCCGAGAACGACACCCGACGCGACATCTCCGGCGTCGGCGAGATCTCGCGCGGGGACTCATTTGTGCGCAGGTACTCGCGCGGCATGACTTTCGGTCCGAGACTATCTGTCGCCGAGCGATCGTCGTCTGAGCGACGGGGTGTTGTGAACGACCATGTTGGATCAAGGGTTCCAGTTTTTGCGACTGATAATGGCATTTGAGCCGATGGGGATGTTGGTAGTGGTCTTGACATTGGAACACGAGTTCCATCCGAGGTACTGGGGAGTTTGTATATATCTGGATCTAGACGGATGCCGAGACCGTCTGCTAGTTCCGAGTCTGAGCCCCATTGGTGTTGCATGACTGTGTTTCTGCGGACGAAGGATTTATCCATGCTTTCTGTGACGGAGGCTGAGCCTTGGGCGCGCTTGTATTTCAGTTTCTTGACGCCGCGGTCTCGGACGAAGGAGCCTATTACTAGGATGTTTGAGACTGCCGTTGCGGCGAGGATTTCCAAGGAGGCGAGGAGGGAGCGGTATGGTTGGGAGCCTCTGTGTTCGATTACGGAGGGGACGCGGTAGGAGGTTATGGCGACTAATATCAGGGATAGGCAGAAGAGGGATGCGAGGGCGATACGGCGCTTGAGAGGCATTTGCACCATGAGGATTATGGGCACAGGGATAGCGACGAGGAGGAGGTCGGTTATCGCGTCGCAGGTGCCCATTGTTATTAGGTTGACGTAGCCGCTACGGCAGGTTGGGCCTGGGTCTGGGGTGACCTGCCAGTAGTGGTCGAAGGGCTGGCATTCGGCTAGGGTTGCGATGACCACGGCCACTAGGGTTGAGACGAGGAAGAAGGAGATGAAGCGGAGGAAGAAGGTTGTTGATCGGCGCCAGGTGAGCCCTGTGACTCGCTTTAGGAATTCGCATACGGTCACTTTGGCGGTCCAGATGCTATAGTTGTTTGTGAGTCACTTTTGAACTAGCAGCTCCAATGGGTGCGTTCTTACAAGATGGCGTAGAAGATACGGGCCGCAAGAACTAGCTTGCTGCCTAGTTCTCTGTTTGATATCTCCTTCTCCGTCAAGCCTGTGGTGGTGGTATTGTTGGTTCCCAAGACGAGAACGAAATGCACAAGGACCATGCGGATCACCAGGGGAATGACAGCGATCATCATGACTTTGTCCTCGGCGAAAAAGCGTTCAACGCGAATATAACGACCACATAGTCGCACGACGATTATAACCAATGAGAAGATAGTAGCCCACCAGCTCATCATAAGCGTCGGATTGATCTGGGCTCTGTTCTGGAAAGCTGGTGGTGTCTCTTGATAAATACCACGCGGGACTAGCGACATGGCCATGGAGGCCATGGAGGCCATGATGCCAGTAAAAACAGCAGACGCGCAGAAAGCGATTCACAGTGCTTTTACATTGCTCACACGTGGGAAAGTGTGGGGATATT